TGGTCAATGGTCGAAACCGCCAATATCGGATCATATAGCTACATATACATATGTACAAACTGCCCGATCAAAATTAGTTTTTTTATGGGGAACTTTTTTATTTGACAAGATATCTTCACGAAATTTGACATGGATTATCGTACAAGGCAACGCTACAAACCTCTCTCTTGCACTGTCTGTATTAATAAGTATTTCATAATCGAGAGTAAAATTCTCTTTGAAGCCAGATAATGGTTGCCGTTTGTGCAGATTCTTAATAAATATCATATATTATATACTATATAACAAAATATACATAATTATATATGAAGTAGTATGCTTGAAATAATTTAATAAAATAGTATAACATAATTCCGCAAATTCCAAAAATTCGGCTCAGTTAAGGAATTACGTCAAAACAGACGACTGTCCATCAAGTCAAATCTACCATATACATATTATATTTTCCCAATACCCTTCTCTTCTAACAAGAGGCGACTCTTATTTGTTAATACGTGCTGTATATAAAAACCAGAGTCGCTTTATCACTTATTTCCGCTACTTGTTTGCTGTGTGATACTATTTTTAAGTAAATAATAAGCAGTATTTTTATATTTCATGCTGAAAATGTCAATAACCGCCTGATAGTAAATTTTTGTGCGCGGGAACCTAAAAACCCGATTTTAAGTATAGACTTTCAGGTCATTCTTCTGAGCCATGATTCAGCAGTTCAACAAAGCGAAATAGAAAAGAAGTAAGGAAGGGCAAAGTTCGAGCGTTTTATACTTTTGCAACTTGCAAGAATCAAAGCATGGAAAATACCTTCAGGTGTTAGGAAAGCTTTTTATTTAAAAATGTTGTGAAATAATTCAGCATTGATTATTCGACAAAATCGTAAATTTATTACAATCAAATTTAATATTTTAATGAGTTATATTACAGGTTACACGCTCACTTAGTTTTATTACTATATTTTAACTCGCGTCAGCTAAAATTATGTTATAATCATCTTCAAATGAGATATATGGGATATAAACTCAACTGAAGAATCTAAATTTAATATAATGATTTGATGTGAAAATGACAACCGGAGAATCGCAATTCATTATATGTGAAATATAAGGTTTGGGACCAATTTCCAACGTCTAGACCAATTTTCTTCATATTTCCACACAATTTTTAAGAGAATTGGTTAATTTAATTTTATTAAAGTATTACACATTTTGTCAGGTGGAAAATCGGAAATTAATTTATATGCTAATTTGAACGATATGTTCGGCTTAAGGTTTGTTAGAATAACTAAATTTAATATATGTAGTATTCGGGACTTGAGGTAATTGGTAGACTAAATTCACATATTTTCGACATTAAACTATAGCATATCCAATATTATATATACGTTGAACTACATTATATTCAATATTAATCAGTTAATTTTGCTAAGATATCTTACATGCATATTTACTGATATACAGTCAAACCTGAGTAAAATAGAACTGGGTAAACGAGAAAACTCTATAAGTGAGAATAACCTGACCTGAGACCCGAACTTTAACCTCTCAAAAACCTCTAGGAGTGAGAAACAAAAACCTCTATAATGTATGACTCATTATTTTTTTTCAGGAATCAGGAACTATGTTGTCTTCTTGAAATTCAAAGAAATGATATTTAACTGTATTAACTTATTTTTCATGCTCACTGCAGTTCATAAATATCATTTGCAACGAACAGTACAGTTCTATCAACAACTTATATGGTGTAAACGAAAAATCAACGTGTTGTCGTTAAGTGATAAACTGAAAATTATAAATGCTTTGACTCGAGAAAATAATGGTGTAAAATACTAAGTGAATTGGGATTACCGAAATCTACCTATTATAAAATTTAAAGACTCCATAAAGTTCCTGTGCTCCGAGGATTATTGCTCTAGAGCATTAGTGAGAAACCTCTATAAGAGGAAAAAATCATGGTCCCTTAAACTCTCTCTTAACCAGGTTTGACTGTATCTGTCCGGAAGTTTGAAAATTCTGTTATTAGTTATATGGGGGCTAGGGCAAGTTTCCACCCGATTTAACACATTTTAGGCACAAAAATGAACCATTATAAAAAAATGCATCCACTTAATTTTATTAACACAGATAACATATTGTCCAATATATACGGTATAAAGTAAACCGGAAGTTCGAAAATATTTCGATAAGGTATATGAGCACTAAGGGAAGTATTGACCGTTATTTCCAGTAAAAGTTTAGCACCAGCCACTGGTGTCCCCTTATTCGGTGTATGGGGACTTGAACAGTTGTCCGATTTTGACAATTTTTAGACTTGAGATGGTATTGAGGTATAAGGTATATATGAGGTAGGCACTATTTGTGCAAAGTTTGTGTCCCGATATATTCTTTGGTGCTTGATTTCTATACTGAAAAGTGTAGGAAGCATATGGAATTTAAAATTGTGGTATATGGGAAGTATGCAGAGTTGTAGTCCGATTTCACACCGTAACATAGGATTGTAAGAATAATGTTATGTACCGAATTTGGTTGAAATTGGTCCAGTAGGTCGCGAGATATGTGACTTCACATAAATGTGGGCGGTGCCTCTCCCATCGTCCAATTTTAACCCCTTGTCCTACAAAGCTCTCCTGTACCATGTCGGGTGTAAAATTTAATGTCCGTTAAACCGTTATATGAGAAGTGGACGTGGTTATCATCCGATTTCACCTATTTCCACGCTGTAGCCAGAGGTGGGATTTGTTCTATGCCACGCCCACTTTTTAAAAATTTTCAAACAGCAGGTGCTTTTGGCCTTTGCAATAGTTTTAGGTAATACAAACAACCGTTAAGTGAACAAAACGATTATACTCTGTAGCAACTGTTGCAAGAGTATACAAATAATATTAAAATATTTCAATATTAATTATTTTGCATAAATATGTGCGAGTATATGCTCCATATTGAATAAATATTTATGCATAAATATGTATCTACAAACTTCACATTTATTGTTCAGAGCTAAGCAGCTGTTGCTCGGTAAATAGCATAAAATAACCTAATAAAGATAGATAGATAAATAAAATTTATAGCAAGCAGTACTAAGTACTATATTAGTAATTGAATTTTTATTTTTCTTGAGACAATATTTGTGTGTTGACTTTAAGTTTTTATCAACATTGTACCACCTGTCTCAATGTCGATCGAAATTTTTTATCGCGATCATTTTATTGACATGTTATGTCATTTACATTGTAGAATAACGTATGAGTGATTACTACGGACAGCTGGCAAGTTTTGATTAGATGGGGTTTTATCTAAAAAATTTAGCCAAAGTTGTACAGTTTTTGTTCGTAAAATTACCAGCTGCGAATTAAAATATAGAATTTTTTCACCTGTGGGGGATCAATAAAAATGCATTATGGTTAAGATAATAGAAACGCATGCCTTGCAAAGCCACAATGGTATTGCTGTTGAACTCGACGGCGAAATGTTTGGAATGATGGAAATGAGGAATTTAAAAAAAAATTTTAAATTACAATATGTAAAAATGTAGTTTTAATTTTTTTAAAACTTATAATATTTGATCAAGTTGATCTATGTATTTGCTCGGTTTAAGGTCATGTTTTGCAACCTATGAACCAGGTTTATTATGGTAATACACAGAAAAATTTTTGAAGAAAAAAATTAAATATTTTTCGTGTTACACGCGATCTCCGACGGTGCTAAAAAAAATGGCATCGACTGCTGCAGTGATTGCGGCCTTCAACGTGGATGAAAGCTAAAAAAAAATAGATTCTCTTTGATGACCTACGTTCTACAAGTAAAAAAAAAGTTGAATCTTACCCAACATTTTGGTCGTTTTTAAATTACATAACAGAGTAATCACTTAAGCAAATTTGAAAATTGTAGTTTTGAGCAAAAGGCGCTTAAAGACAAACTAATGGAGCCGATTGAACCAAGCAGCGACACTTTAAAAGGCTGTAACAAGGGTTGCGAATTTTTTAATTCAAATTTAAAATTTAGTTTTAAATCCCGATTTTGAAATTAAAAATTAAAAATCTTAAGATAAATTTTGATTTTTAATTTCTAACCTAAGATTTTTGGGATTAAAAACTAAAAATTTAATTTTTTTTTTGATTTAAATGAAGTATTTAAACGCGAGACAGTGTTAATTTTAAAATAATTTTTTTTTATGTATTTCTTAATTATATGCTTGGGATTAAAATCTTTTATTTTCCGATTCGGAAGTTGGAAAAAATGCGTTTTTAATCCAGTATCCGGTAAAAATTTAATTTTAAACCGTTATATAATAAAATATTAATAGTAAAATAGAATTAGTTTGAAGCATGCACCGCGACCTAAGGGCTGTTATGTTATTTTTGTTTTCAATTCGGAAGTTAGGATTAACATTTTTTTTTATTTTGTAATTTTGTTTCAGCATTTTTTCAAATGTTTATTAATTATTTTTTAATGCAATATTTGCAACCCTAGCTGTAACTCAAAAACTATTTCAGATATCGGTTTTAATAAATATATATTTTTTTTAATTTCACACTAAATGTACCCCTTAATACAGTCTAGTATGGTATATAGGCGTTTTCGATTTCATAAAATCTTCAAATACTACTGCAGCGCTTGTGCATAAAGTGAAACTGAAATCAATATCAGCGATTACCAATGTAAACAAAAAAACTACACATCTCATGCTGGAGATTTTCACTCAGTTACCCATTATGGCAGTTACGACCAGCATGCGCTTCAAATGATTGACTTTACACTCCTTATTCGCATTTGAATTATTGCTATTTGGCTATGAGTGCAATTGGTAATGACTGCTAGAGCTTTATTTGGCTTTAACCAATATTTTTATTTAGTGACTTGAATTGTCTTCACATTTTCTACGTAATTTTCACTCTTTTGCGCAAGCACTCATACATTGTCAAATTTTATGTGTAGTTTACTAATTGTTGCTTTATTGCGTTCCAATACTTTATTGATAAATTGTATTATTCTACTCTTTTTTTTCAGCTTGAACGTGCGAATGATACTGCTGGTGCGTGATCCACGGGGTACAATGCAATCGCGCAAACATCGCGATTGGTGTGCCGGCAATAGGGATTGCGAGAATCCGCATTACGTCTGCCAAGATCTAGTTGACGATTATCATGCAGCTGTGGAACTACTCAAGGAGCATCCATCACGCTTCAGGTAAGAGAATATTCGTATAAATTGTATAATATAGATTCTATAGCAATCAAAGAACAATTCTTCAGAACAATTTCATGGAAATCAGAAATGTTAGTTATCAACAACGAAATGCAACTTATCGCAGATAAATGAGCGCATAACATATAATATCATACAAGCTATCAAAAGAAATTCAAAGCTATTACTTGCAGATTTTTAAATATTCAATTGTATTCTCAAAGTAAAAAAAGCTTATAAAAATCCAACAGTCGCACAGAGTCCATTAGTCGGATCCTACCTGAAGCGCCCTGAACGGATAATGTTTTTATCATCTGATCAGAATTATCCCAGACTAGTCCGTTTAAACTGCGCGCGAAAATTGAATGCATAACACAATTTTTGATCACCGATTTTTTACATAAAAAAAAAATACCAGAGTGTCCTTAAAATTTCGTGTTTCCAATGAAATTACAGCTACGGAATGGTTGAAACTATTGCAGAAGTGTTTTGAAGAGTCTACTTTATTACTATTTCAGCAGCACAAAGCATTCAATGAATTTCGTAAAGTCATCGAAAACGTGCCTCATGAGAATCGTCCAACCACCCACCTCTCTTAATGACGATAACATTGAAAAAGTTAAGGAAACAGTGCTTGAAGTTTGTTGTGTTGGCATCAGAGAAATAGCAGAGGATCTCAACATCACTTATGGATCGATTCAACACATTCTGGTTAATGTTTTGGGTATGCAGCGTGTCAATGCAAGGCCTGAATCTAACCGACAAAAACAAATTTGCTGAAAGCTCTGAAGACCATCAAAAGCAAAGACTTGCATTAAAATACATGAAAATGTAGTTTTTTTTTTGTTAGTCCGGGTCAAACTTGATCAGTTGGTAGTTTGGTACTGATTTCTGAGTGAAAAGACTATTTTTGTTATTTACAAATACGAAAAAAGATTTTATTTAAATAAAAAATATTGATCAATTTGTACGTTGAAAGAAACGTTGGATTTCACTATTTTAGGGAAATATTATTTATAATAAATTTAATTTTATTAATGTTTATTAATGAGAGCACGTTGACTAAATAAAAAATTAATAATATTCCATTTCATATTGTAGAACACTACGTTATGAGGATCTTTCACTAAATACCTACGACATGACACAAGAGGTGCTACAATTCTATGGACTACCATTCGATCCGTTGGTTGAAGAATTTCTAGACACGCATACAAAAGTAAATATCGGTGGGGTTAGCTCAACCTATCGAGACTCGAAATCGGCACCATTTCATTGGAAGCAAGATCTGCGGCCGGACGAGGTATGTACAATTATATAATAAATAAATGTGTATATAGAGTACACAAGCCTATAAATATCCATTATAGATCCAGTATATACAAAACAACTGCGAAGAGGCCATGCAATTGTGGGGTTATCGTAAAATCGACAACTTTACCAACTTCCAACAAGCAACATTTGATCCAATCGAATTGCCGCCACCCTTCTCGTGAAGTGCTCTCATTCAAGGTTGAGTGAATGTTGCAATTATGTAACGTATACACAATTTTACAACAAACCTAAATCGTTTGTCTCCTAATCTCTATTTGTATCTAACTCGCTTATATTATGTTTTTTATACCATTTTGTTGTGATATATCGAAGAAGTTAAATATTAAAAACAAAGAAGAAGATAACGAACAATGTTACTATGCTAATGCGAAAAATACGACAGCAGCATAAGACACACAGAGAGAGAGAGAACATGTATTTGTAATTATTAAAGCGTATTTAGTAATAAGTAATATATATTAAACATATTTGTAAGACGAGTTCGTTTAGCGCAAAAGCAATTTGGAAGTGCGGGTCGTGAAATGTGTGCTTCAACACACAGGCTGAATGAGTGAAATAACGTATCCCAAGTCCGCCCAGGCCCACACCAACAACAACAACAACACACACACATACATACACACAAACTTATCCATACGACATGAAAACGTATCAGCAGTACAGCACTGTAGTAATTTAATTATGTAGTTTAATATTATATAAGTATTATGTTCGCATACTTAAAACGAAACAAAACAAAACTCGAATTAAATAATTAATTTTGAAAAATTATATGCATACTACAATACTTAAAATAACACGCGTAGATATTTTTACACTGCATAGTTTTAGGCGTTGTGCATTTTTTGCAAACAGTTAAAATCACTAGGCATACAAACACATACACCCTAGACACATACATACATACATATGTAATTATGTAATTAATTAGTTAAATAATTTTAAAAATTTTACGCATTCATTAACGGTGATGACATTTAATATAGTTTCAACTAAGCAGTAGATTATATTTATAATATTTATATGCATAGTACGCATAAATTCAAGTTATTTCAAAGCACACAAAAACAAAAAGCAACAAATTATTATAATACTAAACTTAAATATGAGTTTAGAAGCAAACAAATATTGCTATTTGTTAGTAGTTGAAAAGTATTGCTTTCGAAAAGCGTAAAAAATTAAAAAAAATGCATTTTTGTTAGTGTAGAAATAAAAATATTGAAATGAGAAAAGTGCGAAGCGTGCATAATTATCCAAATTATAAAAAAAGCAAATATGAAAATCGTTAAAACATTTGTCACATATCGTTAACTTAGTAATATAGTACATACAGTGACGAGCTAAAAAAATCGCAGCTAAGCAGCAACGTTGCAAATTTTTAAATAAAAAATTTGATTTAAAAATTTTTATTTCAATTTGTTATTAAAAATTTTAAATTAAATTGTTAGTCCAAAATCAATATTAAAAATTGATAAAATATAAATCGTTTGAATGTTACCCAACACTGCTCTAAAGTATTGAATATGGTCAAACACGAAGTACTGAAGCACGAAAAATATAATTCAAAAACAATTTTATAACTTTTTAATTACAAAATTGGAATTGAAACTATTTTTATTTTTCAATCCGATATTTGGAATTAACAAATTATTTATAATTTTTTAATCGAATATTTTAGATTAGATTATTTGAAAATTATATTTGATTAAGAGTTCGGGGATTACAAAATAATAAAAAATATTCAAATGTTAAATTAAATATTTTTTAATGAATTATTTGCAATCCTGCTGCTAATTTATTATTTCTCAAATATTTTGTATTCTATAAGTTATAAGTTGAAATTGAAGAGAGTTTTGCTAATACATTTTTAAAAGCATCAAATAACACACCGAATTTTGTTTCAGAGGCGCGAACGCTATTAATATTTCTTTTTTGAGGAGATATATTTTCTCGCAAGTCGAATAAACGCGTTTTTTTGTGATTATTATTATTATTTTTTTTTTGGAAGTGGCATTTTATTTTATTTATAAATAAAACTGATGTATAGACATTTAGAGAATTTTAAAATCGGCAATTAATTTTAAAAATTTTTTAGACCTTAGATCTCGTAGCCCATCTCCAGGAGGCGCTGCGAAAAAAGATGTCTGGCAGCGAGGAACTCTACTTAAATTTAATTAAAATCCAAAAAACAACAAAATCTATTCTTATCATAGTTGAATACAGGTAAAGATCGAAGGACTAGGCAAAATTGTAATTTTGGACAAAATGACGGTTTCCAAAAAAAAAAAAATTGTTTTTGTCTTTGATCGATTTTTTCTATTTCTTCGATCATTACCTGAAAAATTTACATACATAGGTAAACGGTCGTGTGAAAATTTCAAGTTGATCGGTCTAGTCGTTTCGGAGAAATTTTACTCATTGACTCTGAAAGTGTTTCAAGAAAAATCCTCATAGATCATCTTCAAATTTTCTAACTATATTTTTAAATATATGTACAATACATTCAAATAATAGTCGGTTTTTTGAAATTCACAAGTGGATATTACCGCTAAAATATGCTTTCTGAACCGATTATACTTTAAATAAGGTAATTTACCTAAAAAATTATATTAGGCCTTTTATAAGCATACAGGCAGAAATGCGCATTATTATTTTTTCGGTATTTATAAGCAGATGGTTTTAGACCTGGCTTGCAGCGAATAATTGTCACGAATTTATTTATAAATTAAGATATTTTTTAAAACTTTATGCCGTGAGATCTCTTCTCCTGTCGGTTCGCTGATTTAACGAAGATGACACGACCATATAATCGTATCTCAGTATGGTCGCGCATCAGTAAAGCTCGTCACTGTTACAAGAGCAGGTTTTGACATTTTTTTCTTTTAAGCAAGTAAGCAATTTAACTACTTTAACTACTACTTTTTAAAAAATAAAACATGCATGCTGAATATTAAAAAAAATAAATAAAAAAATTCTATAATTTGAGCGCAGAAAAATTCCACATTCTAATTCTACTAAATATATTATATAAAAGTTAACGAAACGTGACTTTTGGATAAACTATGCTTTGCTAGTTGAATTTAGAAAACAAAATATTATTAAAATAAAAATTAATTAAAAAGAGGAAACTAAGTCGAAGAAGTACTAAACCATTTGTTGCTATATAATTTTAAACTGGATCAAACAACTTAAAAAGTGAAAACAAATTGCTAAGCAATATTGATGTAATTTTATGAAATCTAAAATATTAAAAAATCTCGTAGTATATAAAATTTAAACAAATAACTTCGATAAGCATTTATGTTTAATTTTAAATAGACAAAAAATATATACAACAACAATGACTAAACTGTATATTATTTTTTGGTGCAATAATTTTAATATATGTATTAGAAATGTAAACTACCAATTTGTTTGTTAGAACAACAGCAAAGAAGGCGTTGCATGAGCATAAAATGTTATTAGCGAAAAAATATAAAATTATTATTTTTTATATTTATTAAATTAAAAGATTAAAAAATAAAATTGCAGTTTTATTTTAATGACTGATTACAGAAAAAATTAGATAATTTTAATATTTACTTTTTTCGATTAAACTACTCACAACCAGGTTGCCAATTTTGTTGTTATAAAATTTTGGTTTAAAAATATGTATTTTTTCAATTCAATTCCGATTTTGGCATTAAAATTAAATGTTCAATTTTTAATTCTGATTTTGGGATTTAAAAATTAAATTTTCGAAAATGCTTGGGGTTGAAAATTTCATTTTCTAATTAAATAATAAAAATTTTTTATTTCATTTCAAAACCTAATTATCTTGGATTAAAAATTGAGAAACTATTTTTTAATTAAAAAATTTGGAGTAACGAATTGAAAAATAATTTTTGAAATTAAAAGCAATGAAAGATGATAAAAAAAGACAGATTTACATATTTCTAACTGAAACACTATAATTAAGACTAATTGAATATAAATTAGACAAAAGGAGCTCAACTTTGTTGGTATTATATTATTGTAAAAATAAGCTTTTCCCTGAGAAAGATAACCAAAATGAACACGAACTACGCAAACGCGAAAAAATGTTAATTCTAAAAAAAAATATTTTTTTAATTACTAATTATATAAGCAGGGCATTGAAAGAATTTTTTTTTTTAGTTTAGGTTTAAAAATAACAAATTTAAAAGAAACAAATTTTTAATCCGATTTTGGGGATTACATTTTTTTTTTGCTCTCCGGTATTTGGGATTAAAATTTTTTTCAATCCGGCAATTGGGATTACAAATTTAAAATTTTTTAAATTAAGATTTTCGAGATTACAAAATAAAACCAGAGTAATTCAATTATTTTTTTAATGCATTATTGGTAACACTGCTCACCAAGCAAGTAGCTGAGTGAAATTCGTACAGAATCGAACTAAACCTAATTTTTTGAAAGTCAAATTTGAAACAATGACACAAATATAGGTATAATGTCCTAGAATTTCAACTAATAGAAAATCTAAAGCAAAAAAATTAATTTCTCTGAATTTGAAATAAACAACAATAAAATGAATTTGTGGAAATGACTTACAGTAGTTCGATCCTTGACCTTATGGAAGAACTGTTAGTAATCTAACACGAAATCAGTTGGACACTATTATACACGTTTTGCAAACGCCAACAATAGTCCGCAAACTTCAGTAATAACTTCTGCAGAATTTTCGAACTAAATAAAATTGTTGTGTAAATTTGGTATTTAAAAAAATATTTGAAAAATAAGAAATTAATTGTTACTAATATTGTTTTTCGTATTTAGAAAAATTAATCTATATATATTTTTTTTATAAACACATTTTTGTTTGAAAAAAAAAATAAATTTTATGTACATATTAATATAATATTAGAAAAAAATTGTTTTTCAATTAAGCACATCTGATTGCTATATAATTCTTGAAATTGTATTATAAATTAAATATTCACACTTAATTAAAAATGATAATGCGAATATGAATAAATGGAACCGAAGTTGTAAAATATAGTGCTGAAACACTTAATAAATTATTTCCATTATTATAATTGTTCATGCATAGCATACGATTATGCAGCAAGCAAAATCAAATGTAATGAAAATTTAACAAAGCAATTCCAAGTACATACGACTATAGTACATATAAATCGAGAAAACAAAAAATTGAATTGGAAATATTGCACAATAAAGTAGCAAGCATAGGTAAGCATAATTAGCAATTCAAATTTATAAAAAAAAAATATAAAGTGTGCAAAAAAAGAATGCATGCAATTTCAAATAAACAGATACATACTTATGTATAAAATATTTTATTACGTCTTTCAATACCTTTTCTGGTCAGTTTTAAAACAGCGATTTCTTCCGAGATTGCATTATTGCCTTAGACAATAAGCCATGTTCCCACGACAGTCGGATCTAAGTAACCGGAACGGACCCGGACCAAATGAAAAAGTGTTCCGATCTGAACAATTTCTTTGGATATTGTAGCATTGCGTTGAACAAAAGGCTACGCCCAATTTCGTGAAAATATATTGTCATATAAAAAAGACAAGAAGTTGATCGGTCAGTTTGTATGGCAGCGACGTTTGCGTTAGGGTGCTACAAATTCCGTGGCAAATTTAATATATCACTTTCAGGACATAAAAATCAACGTGACTTAGATGGAGTTTCAATTGATTATGGATAAATTTTAATTCTTAGAACTAACACTACTAAACACAGGAAATAATAAAGATAGCAGGGTTGAGAAACGATAACTAACAGTTTTAGGCTGATTAAAAAAGTAAATTATTTGGAGTTAGGCCAAATGAATGATAGTATTTGGGCTTAGAAATGCACTTATACAAGGATTTGTAAATTTCAAACACAGTTTAAGGGACAACCACTTGGTTATCCATTTGTGAAAAATCGATATTTTTTTGCATATATGGTGTATCGAATGGCCATATAAATTGTGGTGGGCCCAAGCAGTTGCGGAGATATATGAGCGTATTTGTAAGCATTTTTTAACTTAGTGTTATCGCCTCCCAAAACTTTAAGCCCGTTTTTTCGAAATGCTGTCCTCAAAGTCGGTGAGGAAAAATTTTCCAAAATGACCGATCGATTTCAAATCTTCCCTGGATACTCATACAGATATTATATTAGTCAGGTAATTATCGAAGCAATAATATTTTTGATAATTGTATTGATTTTTGAAGCCACACTGAGTATACATTTTTTTACAAAAAAAAAAAAAACTTTTTTTGGAAATCCGCCTGTTTGTCAAAAATCTAAATTTTGACTAGTGCTGCGATCAATACGGTTACTGGCTCAAAGGGAATCAAATTTTTTCAAATTGAATCATTATGTAAATGTACATTTTTTTATGATTATTTAAATAAAATGGCTCTTCAAAAAAAGAATTCACAAAAAAATGCGTTTTTTTTTGACTCGGAAATGAATATAGGGTATACTGAATTTCAATAGATTATGAAAAAAATTTATATATGGTTTTAAATAAAATATAACTAAATATAATAAATATAAAAAACAAGGAAAATATAATATAATATTAAACAATGAAATACAAACAACTTACCCCAAAACTCATTGATGCACTATTTGCTACTAGATTTCGTTTTGGTACATTTTTTGAATTCGTTTATTACCTGAGCAACGCTACAGTGTAAAAAATAATACTTAATTAAATAATAATAACAATTAAAGAAATAATAATAAAACTTAATTAAAAAAATAAAAAAACTTAATTAAAAAAATAAAAAAACTTAATTAAAACAAGTAAGGAAGAATCGGGTGTAACCGAACATTTCATACTCTTGCAAATCGCCAGGATCGAAGCCAGGGAAATACCTTCAGGTGCATTAGATTTGTTAGAACCACGAAATTCAATAGATGTAGTACCTATATGGTAGTTAGGGTAATTTGTGAATCCATTTCATGTATTTTCGGCAATAAACTACAACTTATCCAATATTACACGTCCACTAAATTTTGCTAAAGTAACTTACTTATTTTCCGATATATGCGATATAAAGTTAGTTTGAACATCTGTCTATTAGGTATATGGGGGCTAAAGAAATTATTGACCCTATACCACCCATTTTTGACATACAGACATATTAATATCAGAAAATGCTTCTCTTGGAATTTCGATAATATATCTCACAGATTGACCGATATTTTCGATAAAATGTTCGCTGTAGGAACTGTGGTCCCATATTCGGTATCACGGAGCTGGAATAGTTTTAGTCCGGTGGATATGGAAGGTAGGAGTGGTTCAAGTCCGATTTCGCATATTTTCGCTGTGTACCAAGTTTCATTAGGATATCTGAATTTTTACTCAAGTTACAGCTTGCACAGACAGACGGGCGGACGGACTCACAGACAAACATCATGATTTCAACTCGTCCCGTTATCCCGATCTTTTATATATACTATCTGGTTTCGTTTTAGGTAAAACAAACAACCGTTAGGTAGACAAAACTACTTGTATTATACGCTGTAGCAACATGTTGCAAGAGTATAAAAATAATACTTAATTAAAAAAAAACCTTAATTAAAACAAAATAATACATATTAAAAAAAAACGAATAATTAATAAAAAATAATAATGCATAATCAAAATATAATATTAATACTTAGTTTAAAATAATACTAATAATAATGAAAGTTTAATGATTAATGCATTCTTAATTTTTCTCCAACATTTATTTAAAACGTTTGGCTTATAATTTTTTTTAATGTACAATGTGTTACGATAAAAAAAATTATTTTATTCTATTTATTAGTTTTTAGCTTAACTATATATAAAATAAATATTAACAACTAAAATATTACTAAAAATTAACGCACATTGTTATTGCAAGTATTTTTAAATCAGACCGGAAAACTGACAGAAAGAATTTATTCACTAACACATTGCAAGTATTGAATATATAATATTCATAAAACTTTCATTCAAGCTTAGATATACCCTTTACACAGTATAAACAACTTCAAACAAATTAATTATTAACAATTATATAATAACTTAATTTTTTATTGAAATTGTGTTAGAAAAACGAAAGTATATTTTTCGAGCACGTCTATGAACTATTGTTAGTAAAAAAAATTACTTTTTTGATTTCTAATACATAATTTGGTTATGTAACTGTGGAAATAAAGTGGACATTGGCTTTAAATCACCAAGGTAACCGTTAATTATGGTGTAACATTTCATTTAAAAGTTCTAATTAATTACAATATAATTACATTAGCACTACCCTGTACATACTTTAAGCTACACATACATACATACACACAAACACAAATCTAACAATACAAACCAAAGATCTCATAATACGCACTCACTCACATTCATATTTAGTTGAGAAAAGTCTTCTTTTGCTATCAAGTGACATTTAAAGATAACTATCTGGTGTATGTTGTCTTATGTGGCTATAAAAACTATTTGCTTCCGCTGCATTTGTTGATGCTGTGGTGAGCTCTTCTGTATGATGGGAAATATGACTCGCCGGACTATGTATGGATATTTCATCATGCTGTTGTTGTAAAGCGGTTGTATGTTGTTGTTTTACACCTATTTTGTGTTGCTTTATAAATGCCGTACAAAAATTTTGAATTGCAGAATCTTGCACTGGCACTAATAATTGCTGATTAAGCGGCGTTTGCTGCTGCGCATTGACATTTGTTATATCAACGACACAACTGTTGTTAGCTGGTGATGAGTCTTCACTATGTGGGCGTTTAAATTCCATATGCATGGGAGTCATTATGGAGGTAGAACTCATAGGATAAGCACTGTTAGTGGTAGTTTGCTTCATTAGTTGATTATATATATTATCGATTGTGGGTACATTTCTGCCTAGCGAGTTATGCTGCTCGTCAATGCGCTGGTTATTCGATTGAACATCGGAAAGTATTCCATGATTAGCATTATTGTTACCAGATATCGCGATAGATGCAGCTTTCGTTGGCGTAGTCATAGATTGTTTAAGCGTTTTAGCTTGTTTTTTGCTAACAGTGCCCACGCTGTCTGGTGGCAGTTTGGGTTTCTTGCCGAAAGCGAAATTTCCACTTTGTTTAGAAACAACAGGCGCAAGATTATCAGCCGCACGCGTACTAGAGTGTGTAAAAGAATATAGTTGTTAAATTTGTAGCTAAATTTAATATATTACAATTATAAAACAAAAAAAAAACATAAGCCCTCACAAAAAAGTTTCCACACAAGAACTTGATTTTATTCGTTCAGTTTATATGGCCGCTATATGCTATAGTGGTCCGATATCGACGGTTCCAACAAATGAGCAGCTTCTTGGGGAGAAAAGTATGTGTGCAAAATATTAGATCGATATCTCAAAAACTGAGGGACTATTTTGTACATGTACAGACACACGAGCTTGGCTAAATCGACAGAGCTCGTTAGACTGATCACTTACATACAGCTGTGTCCAATGAAATAGCAGTGTAGCAGAAGCGAAAATATATAACGGTTTTTTTTTTTGATATTTCCTTACGTCAATTGATCGCACATAGCTGAGGTGTTGTTATAATGCATTGTAACTCAAATTATAATATACTCAATCGAACTCAATACTCAACACTTTTCAACGAAGAAAATCAAAAAAAAATATCAATTGACAGCCAAAAATGTAAGAATTTGCACTAAAACTTCGAAAAAAAAGCATACAAATTAAGCAAATTAACGAAAAGGAATATGCAAAAATTGCTGCACTGCTATTTCAATGAACACAGCTGTACATTTGTAAATATATATTTTATAGGGTCTCTGACGCTTCTTACTGATTTTTATATACTTCGTGGCAAACTTAATAGGTATAATTATTATATATTATATATGTTATAAGATATTTAATTAAATTCCACTCACACAGACTTCAGTACTGCTAATTTCGGTATATTTTTAGTATATGCTTTTTCTCCAGAAGCTTCCAACGCAGCTAATTCTTCAGGATGCGCTTTTCTTTTATGTGTACGGCAATTAGAACCATTGGCAAATGTTCTATCACAAAAATCGCACGAATAGGGTTTGAGACCTGTATGTAAAATGAGGTGGTTTTTTAGTGCCTTTGCACGCTTAAATGCCCGTCCACAAAAATCACATTTATGTTGCATGACATCGGAATGCACCAACAAATGGCGGTTCAATGTAGCTTTCGAGTTTAATTGCAAACCGCATTCGGCACAAATGTGCTTATTTGGATTATGAGTTTCCATATGTTTCTGTAAATAACATAAACATTTCAAGTAAACATAATGTAAAGTATATGATACAATTTATTTAATATTGCTTACTTTCAGTCGCACTTGATTTTTAAAGCCTTTTTTACACACTTCACATTCAAACGGCGCATAGTCTGTGTGTGTGAGCATGTGTTGTTTAAGTTGTCCCTTCGAGCGCACAGCTTCGCCGCATTCCTCACAAATAAAGGAGCGTTCGTTCATATGCACATATTTAATGTGCTGTGCAACATAAGTCTTTGTTGGGAATTTATGGTCACAATGAGGACAGGGCACAATACGTCGCTTTGTTAGAGGCAAATGTTTAACGGCATGATGATTTAATTGTGCTTGAGTGTTGCATGTAAATGGACAATCGGTACATGTGAATTTGGGCACGACCGCAAGTTGTCCATGTTTGCGTTCCATATGTGTGCGATAATTAGATATTCTTTTAAATAACTGTGCGCATTCTTTGCATGTATATATTTCGTTACATTCACCATCTCCACCTTCTTCTGCTTGTTTAAAATCATAATTTTCTTTAATTTTTCTCTTTCTAAAATTATTAATATTTGCTTCATCTTTTTCAGTACCATGTTTTTTTGTTATATTTGTTTTTCGTGCGTTATTCACTGAACTCCCGCTGGAACTAGAATTTTCATCGCTTTTTGTTTCACTTTCACTACCGAAAGGGTCTTCGTCACAAACGTCTTCATTTTCAAAATCGTACGCATCTTCATCTTCTGCCGGCGGTGTTAACTCAATTGTATTTTCTTCCTTTATTTCGATTACATTGCTACACACTTTTGGTAAAATATCTATCACAGCTTCTTCCATAAAACTTTTTTCATCAAATTCATTTATTTTTGGTTTTTCTTCATGCAAGAGTACTTCGCCCAGTGTACGGCATATAAACTCATGTGGTCGGTCATCAATTGGCACACCAAACTTTAAGCGTAATGTTTGGTAATCCATTTCTATATTGCCACTAAAACTTTGAAAGGTTTCATACATTTCCTGCACTTTTAACACCCGTTCGTTGAAATTCACCAAAGACGTTATCAAAGAAAAGCACTCAGTACACAGTCGGTCCGGAAGTTCATCATTCATTTTTATCTGTAAGCAATCGGTAAAGTAATATTAGTTTAAAAATAAATATGATTATTAAATAAGTATAAGGTTTACTTACTTGCACACAAAAGTATTTAGCAATAGCAATATTAAGCCCAAGTTCATTTTGTTCGCCATTTCCTGCAGTAGCAACCATATGTTCATCTTTGAAAAAAACACTAATGTTTTGAACATCTTGCTTTGCACATAAGCGACACCAAAGGTGCCAAGACGCAATTTTATCAATATTGCTATTGAGCTTTTCATCAACTCCTAAACCGTCCATAACATTCATCTTTCCATACACTGATATATGTTAATTAAAATTTCACTGTTTATTCACCAAAATACATGTAATACGTATGTTTACTAAAATGTTAGCGAAAAAGCTGTGAAAAATTACCGAATAAGAACAGATGTTTTTCGGATAGGGAGGATAAAAACTAAGCGTCCGCAGTTATGTTTCGATTGTATAAAATGAATGTACTCGATAGTTTCGTAATCGATAATTTTTCCTGTACATAGAGTAGATAAGCAAATAATCAAGTAGATATATTTTTTTCTTAATTTCAAATAAACGAAATAATAATTAAATATATTTGCTCATGAAAGTATGGAAGGAATATGCAGCAATTTAAAGGACAACAAAATACACACATATTGATAATGTGTGACTTCTAAAGGTAATATGTAAATGTTAATAAATTTCATTAAATCATGCTTTTGATGTTCTTTTGTTTCTTTTTTTTTATAGATGTTGATGCACCTAATTAAAAAAAACTATTTAAATAATGCTAAAGGTAATAGCTAATTATTTTTTAATTCTTCAATTCGGAACTCGTTGTGTCCGCAGAATTTACAGGTTTGGAGTTTGTTTTTTTGCCGAAAGCAAAATTTCCACTTTGTTTTGAGACAACAGGTACAAGATTCTCAGCTCTCCGTATACTGTAATAAAAAAATTTCAATATTTTACAATATTTAACACAACGGTTGGATTTTTTTTACACAGATTTCAACACGGCCAATTCTGGTATATTTTTGGTATACATTTTTTCTCCTGAAGCTTCTAGCTCGGCTAATTCACTTGGATGCGTCCTTTTCATATGAGTACGTCGATTTGACCCATTTGTAAATGTCCTATCACAAAATTCGCACGAATATGGTTTTAGTCCACTGTGGAGTATTAAATGGCTTTTAAGTGCTCTGGCACGCTTGAATGCTCGGCCGCAATAATCACATTTGTGTTGCATTTTATCGGAATGTACTAACATATGACTATTGTATGTGGCACGGCAACTTAGCTCTTTCCCACATTCGTTGCAAATAAGTTTATCCCCATGTATTTGCATGTGTCTCTGATAATTGTATATAAATATTTGAAAGTGGATCATGCTGAGTTTTAACATTATATTACCTTTAAACGATGTTTCTCTTTGAAACACTTTCCGCACTCCTTACATTCGAAAGGTGAGTAGTCTGTGTGCGTTAACATGTGCATTTTAAGTTGTCCTTTTGAGCGTAAAGCATCGCCGCAAGCTTCACAAATAAATGGGCGCTCATCATTGTGTACACATTTAATGTGTTGGGCAACATTTTCTTTACGCTGAAATTCGCGATCGCATTGTTTACACGTGTATAACTCTCGATGTTCTTTCATATGACGCTTTAAATTTGATTCACTATCGAATGAACCAGGGCAATGTGGGCATATAATTTTTTCATGTTTCTTGATCATATGTGCAGCATAGTTACAGCTACGTTGAAAACGTTTTGAACAAATACTGCAAGTGTATTTACTTTCTTTTGTGACTTCTTCATCATCATCCGTTTCAATATCCTCATTATTCAATCTATTGTGCCGCTTTCTCTCATCTTCGTCCGAAGAATCCATTTGCATGTCATAGTCATCATTGTCTCCATAATTGTTTTTTCTCGTTGTTGCTACACAATTTTCAACTCCGGTTAGTATTTTTTCTTCGGCAATGGGGTCTTGAAGTTCTTCTTCTTTTTCAAATTCTTTAAAAAGCACCTCAGGCGATAATGCTTCTGATGAGTTTTCATTTTTTATTTGAAATTTCGATGTATGTGCTCTACTTGCGGCATCTGAATCGGCTATAAAAATTTCTTCCACTGGTAGTTCAGTGCTGGTTTGTGCTGTATTTAATTTTTCCTTAAATAAGCCATGTTTCTTATACAAAGCTGATAAATCTATTTTCATTGTATTATCTCTATGCAATAGATCATTGTAAAATTTTTGTACTTTTCTAATATTCTCACTAAAATCAACGAAGGATTTAACTATGTTGTAGCAATCTGTACAAATAAGGGGCGTAAGTTTCTCGTCTTCATTAATCTGTAAAGTAAGGAGTTAAAAAAGTGTAATGTTCCTATTTAATTTCAATTACTTACATGTACTTGAAAAAAATCGGCTATTACAGATACTATATTGTTTAAATTGTAAAGATTAAAACTGGACATGGTTGGCACACATTGCCCAGTTAGAGCATTGATATAACTTGCATTGGCTTTAGCACATAGGCGACACCAACTTTTCCATTCAGCAATTATGTGATAATTTGTACAGGAATTTCTTTTGTCTAAATCGGTTTCAGACATTTTTACGAAGATTTATTTACTTTTTATATTGTGACAAACACAGATGATAGAACAAAATTGAATCCACGATAAATTGTCAGAAACAACTAGCATGGAATAAGGGCAACCAGGCAGCGAATCAGAAGTTGCCAGATTGTTCTAGAGACGAAGTTTTGTTAAAGATCTGCTATATACGCTGCCAGACTGTGCAGCAAACACAGTTTTAATTAGAATGTTGCCGTGTAGCAATTGAGCTAAGTTGTAAACTAGAATAACAAGTTAAGTTGTTGGAATAAGAAATAAAGATAAGTGTATAGTCATTAAAGTGGGACTTTTATTTAACAATCCAGTGAGTGAACTCAAATGAGTTACAACGTAGACGATTTATCGACAAATCCGTTACAGAATGAATGCACTCAATAGTTTTGTAGTCGATAGTTCTTCATGCATATAGAGCAGATTATCAAATAATCAAGTAAATATATATTTTTTTAATTTCATATAAGCGAAATAAGAACTAAATATATTCTCTCATGAAAGACAAGGGCTATAAACTACAAATATTACACTATTTGTAATTGTTAATTAATTTCATTAAATACTCATGCTTTTGATGTTGTTATGTTTGTTTTTTTTTTTTTATAGATGTTGATGTGCCTAAATTAAAAACAAAAATACTTAAATAACGCTAAAGATATTATTTATAGCTAATTATTATTTAATTCTTCAATTCGGAACTCGTTGTGTCCGCAGAATTTACTGGTTTCGAGTATGTTTTTTTGCCGAAAGCGAAATTTCCACTTTGTTTTGAGACAACAGGTATAAGGTTCTCGGCTTTTCGTATTCTGTAAAAAAAATGTTTAAAATTTTTACAATATTTAACACAACGGTTAGTTTTTATTTACACAGATTTCAACACGGCCAATTCTGGTATATTTTTGGTATACATTTTTTCTCCTGAAGCTTCTAACTCGGCTAATTCACTTGGATGCGTCCTTTTCATATGAGTACGTCGATTTGACCCATTTGTAAATGTCCTATCACAAAATTCGCACGAATATGGTTTTAGTCCACTGTGGAGTATTAAATGGCTTTTAAGTGTTTTGGCACGCTTGAATGCTCGGCCGCAATAATCACACTTGTGTTGCATTTTATCGGAATGCACTAACATATGACTATTGTATGTGGCACGGCAACTTAGCTGTTTCCCACATTCGTTGCAAATAAGTTTATCCCCATGTATTTGCATATGTCTCTGGTAATTGTATATAAATATTAGAAAGTGTATCATGTTTAGTTTTATTAGTATATTACCTTTAGACGTTGTTTCTGTTTGAAACACTTTCCGCACTCCTTACATTCGAAAGGAGAGTAATCTGTGTGAGTTAACATGTGCTCTTTAAGTTGTCCTTTCGATCGTAAAGCATCGCCGCATGCTTCACAAATAAATGGGCGCTCATCGTTGTGAACACATTTAATGTGTTGGGCAACGTATTCTTTCCGCTGAAATTTGCGATCGCATTGTTTACACGGGTATAACTCTCGATGTTCTTTCATATGACGCTTTAAATTTGATTCACTATCAAATGAGCCAGGACAATGTGGGCATATAATTTTTTTATGTTTCTTAATCATATGTGCAGCATAATTACCGCTACGTTGAAAACGATGTGAACAAATATTACAGGTGTATTTACTCTCTTTTGTGACTTCTTCGGAATCATCCGTTTCAATATCCTCATTATTCAATCTATTGTGCCGCTTTCTCTCATCTTCGTCCGAAGAATCCATTTGCATGTCATAGTCATCATTGTCTCCGTAATTGTTTTTTCTCGTTGTGGCTGCACTAATCCCAACTCCAGTAAGTATTTTTTCTTCGGCAATAGGGTCTTGAAGTTCTTCTTCTTTTTCAAGTTCTTTAATGAGTACCTCAGGCGATAATGCTTCTGATGATTTTTCATTTTTTATTTGAAATTTCGATGTATGTGCTGTACTTGCAGCACGTGAATCCGCAATAAAAATTTCTTCCACTGGTAGTTCAGTGCTGGCTTGTGCTATATATAATTCTTCTTTAAATAAGCCATGTTTCACATACAAAGCTGATAAATCTATTTTCATTGTATTATCTCTATGCAATAGATCATCGTAAAATTTTTGTACTTTTCTAATATTCTCACTAAAATCAACGAAGGATTTAACTATGTTGTAGCAATCTGTACAAATAAGGGGCGTAAGTTTCTCGTCTTCATTAATCTGTAAAGTAAGGAGTTAAAAAAGTGTAATGTTCCTATTTATTTCAATTACTTACATGTACTTGAAAAAAATCAGCTATTACAGATACTATATTGTTTAAATTGTAAACATTAAAACTGGACATGGTTGGCACACATTGCCCAGTCAGAGCATTGATATAACTTGCATTGGCTTTAGCACAAAGGCGACACCAACTTTTCCATTCAGCAATTATGTGATAATTTATACAGGAATTCCTTTTGTCTAAATCGGTTTCAGACATTTTTATGAATATTTATTTACTTTTTATATTAGAAGTTGTATAAGTTGAAAATAATAACACATGCTTCGCCCCTTTTAAAAAAATTAATTCACTTTTCACGGGCTAATGCCTTTTATACTTTTTAATTATTAACTTGCTTCAGATTTGAATTCTCTACTTGTTTAATATTTCAATTCTATGAACACACAAAATAATTGCTGCAAATCTGAATTTGTTTCTAATTGTTTACAACTCCTACATTGTATATGCAAGAAAATTGTCGATATCTTGAGAATTGATAATCGATGAATATTTTGTCGCGACAATTTATTGTAACGGATTTCTCGATAAATCGTCTACATTGTTATGCTAAAAACAGTCACCGACGCAAAACGGTAGACCGAGTCAGCTGATACGACTTATCTTATGAGGGCGCTATGTAAATGAACCTCACCACCGCTTCTACCGTCCACTTCTACAAACCGTACGGTAGGATATGCGCGAAAAATGCATTTTTCTCGTAGAAAGAGTGAGCTAATTGCTCTCTAGCAACGAAAGGTAGCCTTGATATTTTGTAGTAATTAAAAAATCAACTTGAATATATTAAAATTTTTATTTAATTTATCTAAACTAACTCAAAATCACAGTCAAATACATTTATTTATAAATAGGTAGACTATTTTTAATATTTGGAAACTAAAAATATAACTAATAATCAAAATATGTGGAAAATCATGTGTACAAATTGATCAATGGTGACATTGCTGATATGAAAACAAAAGAGAACAACTGATTTCTACGTTGCCACTACGGGCATAACTATTGACAAATTTCGTGCCCATAACAGTCGGGTCTACGTAACCGCTACGGTCCCGGATTTTTTCCGGCCAAGGACTGTCAACTCGACAAAATTCTGCCGCTACAACAGCAACAACAACAAATTTCGCTTAATACGGACGGTAAGTATGGAAGGGCGGAACGTCGGTGACTTTTTCTGGCATAATTCACACTTGAGTTCGACCTGGATTGTTAAATAAAAGGTCCACTTTAATGACTATACATCGTTATTCGAGTTTACAACTTATTGCTTATAGCTCAATTGCTCTTTACACAGCAGCACTCTAATTAAAACTGTGTTTGCTGCACAGTCCGGCAGGTCTTATAGAGTAGATTTTTAACAAATGTTCACCACTAGAACAATTTGGCAACTACGAATTCGCCGTCTAGTTGCTTCTAGCAATTTATCGTCGGTTCGGTTTTGTTCTATCATCCGTGTTCGTCACAATATGTATCTATTTCCAAAACGGAAGTTAACTAGTAGCCATGTTATTAATGCAATACTAGTAGTTGCTGCTTAAATTTATTAAAAATAGTTGAACAAACAGATGTAAGCCATATAATATTGTTGGTAATTTTATTTAGGACGTTATGTTATCAACTATATGCTACATATATACATAATCACAATTTCAGTCAATTCACTATTATTTTAAGAGACTGTTGCCGAAAATAGCTAACAAAATACTATACTCCAATGGCGTAATTTAATATTTCCCTAAATAAACGGTGATACAGTTTACTTTTTAATTTGTGACAATTTCACAATTATTTTAACTGGATTCACGACTTTATTAAAACTAATTAAATTCTATAGATGGTAAACGTGATAAATTTGTCGATAGCTCCCAGAGTTTAACTTCTTTTTTTATAGTAACTACTTTATAATTTAATAAAATCAAAACATGTTCAATTCTTATAATGTTAAAATATCTAGTTTATTAAATATAATAAATAATTTCGTAATAAATGTAAATGTACAGTTCATCCTTCATTCATTGTAATACCATATATCGGTAATTAAACTTTTAACGAAATAGCTTCAGCCCTTAAGTATTTCTTAAATTTCCATAACAGTTTTGTTTGGATGTCAACGGTATAAAATTTTGACCCGTACGCGCCCTAAAATATTAAATTGAATTAAGTTATTATGGCAGCACAAATACAAACTTATTTACTTACACAGCTCTTAATGCATCCAAATTTGGTACATTTTTTGTATAGGTCTTTGCCCCAGATGCTTCTAAGGCCGCCAATTCAACTGGATGCATAGTCTTTTTATGAAAACGGCAACTTGAGCCAGTTGAAAATGTTTTGTCACAAAAGTCACAAGAATACGGTCTGAGTCCAGTATGGGCTATTAAATGATATTTCAACGTTTTGGCGCGCTTAAATGTACGTCCACAATAGTCACATTTGTGTGGCATCTTATCGGAATGTACTAACATATGACTATTGAATGTTGCGCGGCAACTAAGCTGTTTTCCACATTCAGTGCAAATGAGTTTATCACCATGTATTTCCAAGTGTCGCTGAAATTTTTTAAACTGCTCAATTGGTTGTTAAATTAAATTACTGAATTATAGCTTACCTTTAATCTGTATTTTTCTTTGAAACTCTTACCACATTCCTTACAGACAAATGGTGTATAGTCTGTGTGGGTCAACATATGTTGCTTCAATTGTTTTTTTGTACGTAGTTCTTCACCACATGCTTCACAGACCAATGGGTTGTCAAATTTATGGACATTCCTAATATGATTACCTAGCGATCCCTTTCTTTCAAATTTTTCATTACATTGTGGACAAGTGAACAACTTTCGATGATTTACCATATGCAACTTGAGAGTAGATTCTGTTTTGAATGAAGTAGGACATTGTGGACAAACGATTACACCATGCTTTTTCTTCATGTGTCTCGAATAGTTACTACGACGTTGAAAGCTTTGCGAGCAAACGCTACACAAGTGTTCTAATTCTTTTTTGATATTTCCATGTACTTCAAATTTCTTGTAGGGCTTTATATTAGAATCGGATGATTCTGTATCATCAAAGCAATTATCTTCATTACTGCTCATGTCTTCGGACATAGATGAAGTACATGACATTTGGTTTAAGTTTCCTTCTTCATCGCCGATAGGATCATTAAATTCATCTTTTGTTCCTTGAACTATTGTGCCCAACTTTTCTGTCACATTTGTACACTCATTTTTTATATTATGCCCGACTTCAGACGTAACTGGTAATTCGGCAACGAAAATTTCTTCAACTGGCAGTTCGCTTCCTTGATCCGTTATTAGTGATTCACTTTTGTAAATACCATATTTATCTAATAATAAACCCAAATCGAGTGCTGTTTTATCTGTACAATTACATAGTTCAGCGTACAATTGTTGGACTTTGTTTACGCGTTCGCTGAATTTAATTACATTTTTCACAAACTTGCAGCACTCTTGGCAAATTATTTGTGAAAGTTTTTCATCTTCTTGAACCTATAAAACAATAAATTTTTATAAAATTCCTTGAAGTAATAGTCAGTATTCTTACATAGATTCTAAATAATTCCCCTATTGAGTGAACTATGTTAATATCATTGAAATCACTATTCAGGTTTTGTGAGCACTGCCCCGATATAATATTAACGCCGTTTACATCATCATTAGCACAGAGCCGGCACCAAGTTTTCCATTTTGCATCATAAATATGATCTGTAGAAAACTTTTCACTTTCAGAAAAAAGGACATTCGACATTACCGCGAATATGTTTTCTTTATATTTGATTGTTTGTTTACTTTTCACTTTTAATTTCTATGAAATCTGAAATACAGGTATGTGAATAATTTATCGATACTTTTGAACAAAATGATATTCTCCAAATAGTGTGGTGAAATTTGTAAAAATTAGAAATGGTATGGCGAATTTATTATTTACACTGTTCTTTGATAAATATTTAATAAAAAATAAATGCATTATAACTTTTGAATTATATTTCGTAACTAAGATGGTTGTATTCAGCGAATGTATATATTCAGTATTTCTAAAATGCAAATGGTAAGGCAACAAATATTTATCTTTGATATACGATATTTAATAAAAAGAAATTCATATATGAATGTATCTATAACAAATATTTTTAAATTTATTAAATAAAGCTTGTTTGTTACATTACTAATCTAAATTATCCCAAATATAAAAAAAAAATCACATAAAAATCCTAAATCGAAAAAATAAAAACAGAATTTACTAAATCTATAAAATTACTATTTTTTAAGCTTATTTGATACCACACCAGCACTTCATTGAAGTGCAAAATATTGACGCATACATAAAATATGTATGTATATCTAACTATAAATTTTAGATACTATATGTTACAACTAATTTTTCAACGTACATTTTTAGAACATGAATAAAAAATTTGAACATGTTTTTTTTTAATATTTGTCGCTTGTAGCATTTGTAGTAGCAGTTGAATTCGCAACCACCGTTTTTGCTTGTATTTCCTTGTCGAAATGTACGCAACCGTTTTGTTTTGATGCCAGTGGCTTGAAATTCTCACCCGTTCGCGAACTTTAACAACAAAAACATATATACTATTTTCCTACAAAATCAAATTATTTGATTGTATTACTTACACTGCCTTTAGAACATGTAAAGTGGGTATATTTTTGGTATATGTTTTAGCTCCGGATGCCTCCAGTTCAGCCAACTCCTTCGGATGCATTGTTTTTTTATGGAATCTACAACTTGGCCCTGTTGAGAATCTTTTATCACAAAAATCACATGCATACGGTCTAAGGTCGGTATGGGCAATTAAATGGTTCTTAAGGGTATTGGCACGCTTAAAAAGCCGTCCACAATAATCACACTTGTGCGACATCTTATCGGAATGAACAAGCAAATGACTTTTGAGCGTAGCACGCGTACTCAATTGTTTACCACATTCAGGGCATATGTACTTGTCTCCATGTATTTGCATGTGTCTCTGAATATGATTTGCGTAATTTAAAATTAAACAATATTTTTGTTTACATCTTTATCTATGGTAGCTTACCTTCAGTCGGCTTTTTATTTTAAAACTTGTGCCACAAATTGTACATTCAAATGGTGAATAGTCAGTGTGTTGCAGCATGTGTTCTCTGAGTTGCTTTCTAGAGCGCAAAGTAACACCACACACTTCACAAATCAGTGGTTGTTCATCTTCATGTGCACAACTGATATGCTTTGCTAATCTGGTTTTTGTTTCAAACTTTTTATCGCAAAGTGTACATGGAAACGCTTTTGGATGAGTTTTCATATGTCGTCTTAGTTTAATGGCATTTCTAAAGGAATCAGTGCATTGTGGGCAAAGAATTTCGCCATGTTTTTGTTTCATATGGGAGATATAGTTTTTAAGGCGTTGGAAACCTTGTGAGCACCTTTTGCACAAGTAGTTATATTCAAAGTCTTGAAAATGCTTATTTACGTTTTTCTCAGTTCTTTCTTCAATATTTTCTGAATCATTATTTAAAACTTCAAATTTTCTTTCACTTTGTTCACTATCACTACTGAGCTCATCTTCTTCAGCCATAGGAGAATCGACAATACCCAAACAATCATTTATATCTCCAATTGGGTCGACAAATTCATTATCCTTTTCAAAATCTGTTAACAGAATTTCAGCCGGAACTTCATCAGATTTCTTTTCACTTTTTACTTCAACTTCTGCTGACTCTGTTACATTTGTGATTGGTAAATCAGCAACGAAAATTTCTTCTACAGGCAGTTTATTGATATTGGTTGCCAGAAATATTTCATTTTCAATGATGTTGTATTTTTCGTACAATGATTTCGGACACAAATTGGTTGAGTAATGTTCGTTTTGTAGATCACTGTACATTTCTTGAACTCTCTTCACCCGATCTCTAAATTTTATTAAGGAAGTAATTACTTGATAACAATCTGTGCATATCAGTTTTGATAACTTCTCATCTTCTTGAATCTGAAAAGTAGTAAAATAAGCAAATGTTGCTTTGTTTTATAAAGTATTTACTATTTACTTGAACTCGAAAAAAATCTTCTATAACAGGAAGAATATTACTGCTGCTGTAAGCACTAATCGCTGAGATAGGCGATTTCCATTGTCCGGATATCATATTAATATATTCGGCATCAGCACGCGCACAAAGACGGCACCAATTTTTCCATTCTTTGGCTAAAAAGTCTTCTGTCATGTTTCCAATATGTTCACTATTATTTTCAAGCAAATCCGCCATTTTTAGCTCTTGTGTACTGACGGTCTACTATTGTTCCAATTTTGTACTACATGTATCAACATCGACAGTTGCTTCACAAATTTGTTTCATTTGCATAAAAGTTTACAAACATGCAAATGCGACAATTAGCAATTTAAAGACAGCGGTAAACTGAAATGTTTTGCATTTATTTTATTGTTGCAAGAATTTAGAAATGGAACAATGAAATATTCGATTAACGAGATATCGATAAGTGCACCATCAAGTTATCTATCGATTCGCATACGAATAATTCAATTAATTTTTAACTTTTATATTATATTGTATTTATATTTCAGGTATACATATGTCTTATAGACTTTGTGTAAATCCGTTCTTTTGTTAAAGAAAGTAATATTTCTCAAAGAGAAATTCTCGTTGATGTTTTTAGATTTGCGTTAGAATCATATACTTATTTATTACAAAACTGCTTCTCATACCCAATAGTGCAGTCTCAGACAGTTTAAATTAATCGTACGCCAAGAGAAGTATTTAATAAAATCTTTATTGTATTTTATTAAATGTATTGCATTTTGTGTTCGAGTTCATATGTATTTAGATATACATATATGTATGTATGTATAAAGTGTATAGGTTTCTGTTTACTTGTACATACACCAAATAATATTGTATTTCAAATGCAATAACGATTTTTACATACATATGCATATATAGTTTTTCTTGGGTCCTAGGCTCTAGGTCCTGGGACTGTCATTGTTAAATCAATTTTCTAAAACTGATTTCGGTATTTAAATAAATTGCCGCTTTTGCTAAATTTTTATGTATCAACTGCCATAATTGTTTCGTTCGGTTTGGATTCTACATCCTCTTTTGGCGGTTCTTTTTTTCTGTCAAATGTAGCATAACCATTTTGTTTGGATGCCAAAGGTGTAAGGTTTTCTGCAGTTCGCGATCTGAAAATGATAAACATAATTATATAGACCATAATGATTAAAAAACAAGAAAACATGTTAACTTCGGTTGCACCGAAGCAATACACTTCACAAATAGAAAAATTTTCAAAGAAACTGATTTTGATTTGTCAATTTCATATCGAGCGTATATAACTTACAGAAAGCCGGATATGGTTAAATCGGCGCAGCTCATCGCCGTAATGATTTATATATACATATATTTATATATTTTACGACGTTCCTTTCTGGGTGTTGCAAATTTCGTGCCAATTTTAATATACTTTGTTCAGGGTGTAAATATTATTTAATATAAATATATACTTACACGGCCTTTAATACATCTAAATTTGGTATATTTTTTGTATATGTTTTCACCCCCGAGGCCTCCAGAGCAGCCAATTCAACTGGATGCATAGTTTTCTTGTGAAAACGACAACTTGGTCCCGTCGAAAACGTTTTGTCACAAAAGTCACATGAATACGGTCTAAGGCCAGTATGTGCAATTAAATGATTTTTCAGCGTTTTGGCACGTTTGAAAAGACGTCCACAATAATCGCATTTGTGCGGCATCTTATCTGAATGCACTAGTAGGTGACTATTTAGAGTAGCGCGTGTGCTCAGTTGTTTGCCGCATTCTGTACAAATATGTTTGTCACCATGTATTTGCATGTGTCTCTGAAATAAAATTACGCATTTTATATCATATAGTTCTATTGATTATTTATGTTTTTTAAATACCTTCAAACGTTGTTTTTGCTTAAAGCATTTTCCACATTCTTTGCATTCAAAGGGCGAATAGTCCGTGTGTGTCAACATGTGCTCTTTAAGTTGTCCTTTCGTGCGAACGGCATCACCGCAGGTTTCGCAAATGAATGGACGTTCGTCATCATGTATAAATTTTATGTGTTGCGATACGTATTCTTTTGTTACGAACTTTCGATCACAGTGCGGGCAGGGAAACAATTGTCGATGATCTTTCATATGTTCCTTTAAAATTGGTTTGCTATCAAATAAGCTTGGACAATGCCGGCATAAGTGTTTGCTATGCCTTTTCTTTACGTGTACCGAATAGTTACATCTACGATGAAAACTCATTAAACAAATACTACAAGTATGTGTCGTGCCTTTGGTTATTTCAGTAGAATCTTCCGACTCTACGCTGTCATTATTAATTTTATTAATTGTACAAAATTCTTCGTCTTCTTCATCAGTATCTTCGGTATCCATTGGCATATTGAAATCTTCACTTCTGCTAATATTTTCGTCTTCATTTACAGGAGCGCGGTTTTGCAATGCAGTGAATACTTCTTCTTCCCCGAATGGATCTTGAAATTCTTCCTTTTTTTCGAACTCTTTAATAAACACTTCTGCCGGGAATTCATCAGAACTTTCATGTTTTATTTGAATTGATAAATTAGTACACTTCGGCACAGGCGAATCAGCAATGAAAATTTCTTCCACTGGCACTTTGTTACTACTGGTTTGTGTCGAAATAGTCTCTTCTCTACATATACCATACTTATCATATAAAACTGGTAAATTGATTTTGGTTTTATCATCGCTATGCAACAACTCATGGTACAATTGCTGAACCTTTTTAATGTTATCATTAAATTTAACAAATGATATTACCACATCGAAACACTCAGTGCAAACAAAAGGTGAGAGCTTCTCATCTTCCTTAATCTAAAAAATTTAAATTATGTTTACGTTTATCAAATATACATATTTTTTTATTCACACACACTTACCTGAACGTGAAAATATTCATCTATAGCAGCAAGTATGTTTAACGAGTTGTAATTATCACTTGCGATTGTGGATTGTGTATAGTGTCCTGTTAAAGCATTAATACATTGCACTTCAGCTTTTGCACAGAGCCGACACCACCGTTTCCATTCCTCAAAGAAAGTGTTCTTTTCTTCAAGAACCAAGGGATATTTTTTATTCAATTCAATAACCGACATTTTTTAAGTGTTATATTTATTGCCGTTGTTATTAGCGATAATCTCCAATTTACAACACATATATGGCTTCCCTCTTTTTCTAAAGTATGTCAATATTAAAAATAGATATTTAATTAACTTTGTTATTCCAGCACAATGAAATTTATTTGCATTTGAAATATGTAATGTTATTTGCTTATGAATATTAATTATGTATACACACTGGTAAGTTGTGCTTTTCTGTAAATTGTAACAAATGTTTTATTAACCCTTTAGATATGCTATGGTTTTGTCGATACGCTTATATCGATAAATTATAGCTTACGTCCACTATTGGGTTTGAGGAGCATAACCTAAATAATCGATACTTTGTAATTTTCAGTTTTTTAACATAATATATTAATAGCTTATAATAACTGGCTTATAACATAAAGCAGGTTCAGAGACGATAGTTGCAAACAATCTTTGTGATTTATAAGGTTTTTTAACCCCCGTTAGACACATTGGAATGAAGCGCTTCTTAAAAAGTGCACTATTTCCAGATGAACTCCGATTTGGTGGATATAAACATACCTCTCTAAAATTCTGTCTATTTTTATTTAAATATAAATTAAAAACAAAGTTCTACATGTTCATATGCAATTATGTTACAATGAATATATGCCAGCGATATTCCATGGCTGTCGCTTAGCTTGACATTTACCGAATATTAAAGCTTTTGCGGCAATTGTGCCAATGATATCGTTTTCAATTGTCGATAAGTTCCTGTTACTCCAACATCATTCTACCAACAAAATCCAACATTCTGAAGTCCGGCAGAGGATAATCTATGGAAAATAGAAATAATGCAAAAAATTAAAACGAAAAATTTATCTCTATAATAAAATCCCACCACACAGAATTCTTACCTCTCATGGTTGCAGGATTTTTGAAATACATAGCGGAGCTAGTAGTTGGTTGATTCATACTTGTTGAGAAATCCATTGCCTCAGTATTAACGTTTTCATTTGCATTATCCGTTCTACACATTGAAATAACAATTCGAAAATATGTATAAATTAAAATATGTAAATATTTATCATATTCATAGTTGTTGAACTTACAATGAGTTATCCTCACTACCCTCATCGCTTTTAATATGTTTTCCTGCTTTTAACATCTCTAGTTCAAGTAGCTTCTCAGGATGTTTTTTCTTTTTGTGCTGACGGCGAGTGGATGGAGCCGAGAACACTTTATCGCAAAAGTTACATTCATATCTTTTTTCACCGGTGTGAATATTTAAATGTACTTTCAAAGTTTTAATAAGCTTGAAAGCTCGCCCACAATATTCACATTTGTGAGCCTTATCCTCTGTGTGTACCAGTAAATGTTTATTAAGTGTACATCGAGAACTTAACTCCTTGCCACATACGGTACAAATATGCTTTTCCCCATGAATTTCCATATGTCTCTATAAATTAAAAAAAAGGTTTTGAAAAACCAGAACATAATGGGAGAAAAATTCTAGAATACCTTTAGTCGTTGCTTCCGTTTAAAGCTCTTTCCGCATATTTTGCATTCAAATGGTGAATAGTCAGTATGTGTGAGCATATGTTCACGCAAGATGGTCCTAGTGTGCACAGCTTCGCCACATTCTTCACAGATAAATGGACGCGAATTGTCGTGAACAAATTGAATGTGTCGTGTCACATGCACTTTTGTTTGGAATTTCCGATCACATTGTGGACACGGGAAAATGAGCCTTTCATCCAAAGGTATGTATTTTTTCATGTGTCGCTTCAACTCGTATTCAAATTCATATTTACGTGGACAATTTGGACAACTAAACGGCGTTGCATCACCAACAATCTTATGTATTTTTCTCATATGACTGGTATAATTGCTACTACGTTGAAAACCCATTGAACAGATATTACATGTTATCTTAGGTTCCAGCAAACGTCTTTCCGCGGTCGATAAACGTTTGTTGTTTTTTCTCTTTGTGCCTTCATCTAACTCAATTTTATGCTTTTTTTTCATGTGTGTTTTATAGTTGCTCATCCGTTGAAATCCCATTGTGCATATTTTACAGGTAACTATATATTCCGTTCCATCCGCATTCTTGACGGATTTATTTGGACAAATACTTCCCTTTTCTGAGGTTTTGGTTTTACTTTTATACTTCACATCATCAAAATAATTATTGTCAACTGCATCGAAGCCATCGCTGCTGCTGCTGCTACTTGTATCATCATAGTCCATAAATGTTGTTGTACTCGTTGGTGGTGGTGTTGATGATGTTTTAACAGCTCCGTCCTCACATTTTGTATCTTTAATGTCAGAATCATCATCTTCTGTCTTAATCACAATGTCCGGCTCACATATTACAGGTAAACTAGCTACAAAAATTTGTTGTTTAGTTGGTAAGAAAGGCGCCTTAATGATTGGATATGCCGGAATGAAAATGGATTCAAGTGGAGGTTTATCTTCAGCAGCATTTTTATCCATTGTTTACAAAATACGTCAGCAGCTTATTCACATAGAAATTCACTAATTCTACAAAACAAAAGGGGATGTACAATAACAATCGATTTTCTGTAAAACCGATAATTATATCTAATTTTTTTTGATACTTCAATTTGCACTACTTTTAAAATTTGTAAATGGTTGAAATGGTAATAAAATTTATTAAACATGGAACATAATGCAATCATTTAAATTATAATGTGATTTGTGTTAATTTTTAGTTCTGCGAGTTTTAGTCAAAAGTAATGGATATTATACTTTTTATTATTAATAAAACTATTATATGTACATATGCATATATAATTGAATCTTATGCTAATAAAATCTGTAGTCACATTTTTTGTTAAAGTGTAGTCTTCTCCTTTGTAATAACTTCTTTACTTTTACCCATGTATTTTTGATCTAATTTGGGTTTCTTGCCTAAAGAAAAATTTCCACTCTGTTTCGGCGCTACAGGTGTCAGGTTCTTAGCTGTTCGGGTACTAAATATTTCAGTTATCATTACCCAAAATAAAGTAAAAACAAACGATTAAATCGTAAAACAATCGCAGTATAAACATACTTACACCGCTTTTAAAACAGACAACGTAGGTATATTTTTCGCTTTAACGGGTTTTTCGCCAGAAGCCTCTTGAGCAGCAAATTCTACCGGATGTACATGTTTTTTGTGTGTACGACAACTAGTTCCATTTGAAAAGGTCTTATCACAAAAATCACATGAATATGGTTTCAGACCAGCGTGTAGAATAAGATGATTTTTCAAAGTTTTTGAACGTTTAAAGGCACGTCCACAATAGTCACACTTATGTGGCATCACATCGGAATGTACAAATGAATGAGAATAGAGTGTAGCACGAGAGCTCAATTGTAAGCCACACTCAACACAAATATGCTTCTCTCCATGTATATCCATGTGTTTCTACAAATAATATGATAAGTATTTATTTAATAATAACTATAATGCATTACCATTAGGCGTGTCTTCTGTTTAAAACATTTGCCACACGCTTTACATTCAAAAGGAGCATAATTTGAGTGTGTGTACATATGGTCGCGTAATGTGTCTTTAGTGCCCATAATTTCTCCGCACTTCTCGCATATAAAAGCTGTCTTATCAGCATGCACAGATTTTATATGTTGGGTCATTAAGGATTTTCTTTGGAATATTAAATCACAGTTAGGACATGGTAACGCTGTATTCTCCGCTAATGGTGGAATAAGTCCATGCTTCTTCTTTACATGTAATCTAAAGCTATTATGGCGTTGAAATCGTTTCGGGCAATGTTTACAAATGTATTTACATTCAATTCGGCTTTTCTTTACGGGAGAAATTAAATCACTTTCATGCATATTTTCAGTGTTCAAACGATCCACTTTTGTAAATTTTTTATCGTCTGTGTTTTCTATAGATTTTTCATCACTTTTTATTGTAGCAGCAACAATACCCTCAAAGGTGCAAGAGCTGTTTGATGACCCACTACTTTCGCATTCGCAAACTTCATCTAATGGATCTTTGCAGTCGTTATTTTTATTATGGTCGCTATCTAAACCATCATTGTGTGGCTCATAAACTAATACGTCTGAGAATGTTGCTGTTTGAATGTTTATGAATGGTGCTGAATTACAAGGATTAACTTTTGAACTTGACGGCGCGGAAGGTAAATTAGTTTCTGTGTTTAATGTTTTAGCCAATTGTGAAACATCTTGATCTATTTCATACTTTTCATATAAGAACTTCATGTCTATCGCTGAGCCTTCTTCTGATTGCAGTATTTCCTTATACATTTCTTGTATCTTACATACACGAGCAGCAAATTTTATCAAAGATGTTAGCACTAATAGGCATTCAGCACATAGAACTTGAGGCATCTTTTGTTGGTGGTTGAACTGGTGATTTAATTTATATTGAGCTTGAACTTTGATTAAATATGATGTGCTTACCTCAATATTAAAAAATTTATAAATTGGCGATATCAAATTAATTTTGTTGATCTTTGTTGCCTGAGCTGAAAATATGTTTATATTTTTAACATCAGCTTTCGCACAAAATCGACACCAGATACTCCATTCAAAATCCATACTTGCAATATTCGACTTGTTGAGAATTCTTTAAAGCCTTAATTGTTTAATTAAAACTAATTGTTCCCCTTATTGTTTACAAAATAGTCTTATTACCACTTCGTACCCTTCATATACTAAGGGACTAAATTGAAATCGAATCACGTAAATATGGTTCACACTGTGCAATAAATGCATTCTAATAATCTTCAGTATAAATTTTTCGTACTATAAATAAAAAATAATTTTATTTTCGTATATATAGCTACAAATGGTAACTTCATTATCATTTACATATATGGTACTTAAATTGCTTTGTATAAATTGTATAAATTTAAGAGTGAATTTTTGGGATTTTTATGTCAGTTTTATGCACTACGTTCCATATAATCCAAAGAATAATATATCTATATAACGTAATATATACGTTCTCTGGTTTCACGTAGTTTGAAAATGCAACCCTGCGTTTACACATTTGACATTTGTAGACTGGATTTTTCAATATAAAAAATTGTATCAACATTTTATTGAATTAAACGAAGAATTGTAATTGTTACTTTCATAGTGCTCGGATTTTAAGATATATTTACTAAAAAAATTAAGTTTGACAAACTTTAAACAATGCTTGTCTCCAAATTACCACACAAGGCAATAGCTGCAGAGGCGTGTAATAAGTCCATTTCACCAGCTAATGACAACATGGCTTGGAAACGCTGGTGTCGATTATGCGCTAAGGAAGATGATGAAAGTCATTTGTGCGTTTTTCCAGAAATCAATGAGCCGGGGAAATTAGTGGACAGCAGTTTGGCTACAACAATCGGCAAATTTTTCTGGGTTAATGTATGCTGTTTTTTTAGCTATATTGTCAAATTTGTTCGTATGTTAATTAAATTTTTTTTGTTGAGATTTTAGATTAGACCAAATGATGGACTATCGAGTTATGTATGCATTGAATGTCACACATTAATATCGTCATTGACCCTATTTACGGAACGCGTTATCAAAGTACAGGCCATGTTCTGCGCATTACAAAATTCTGGTCCTGATAACAAAATGAACCTGAATGAAGTTAAGCTACAATATGGCTTACTGGATATGGAGTTTGATCATATTATAAAGCATGAGCGAAATATTGAAAAGAAAATCAGCAGTGAAAAACAATCTAGTGATGAAGACGATTTTGAACTCGATGGTGAAGATAATAAAGAGTTTTTTGAGTTAAGAGAAGTTAGAGAACGTAAAGCGGGTGAAAATTTTTCCGTTGAACTTGTTAAGCGTGGAACTAAAAGGAAACGACAAGATGTTGAGCATGACGAAGATGAAGATAATGATGTGGACAATATAGTATCGATCAGTGCATTGGTGGGTGAATCAGAAGAAGACACAGAAGAGCATTTTATTATCGAAAATATGGCAACAGAAGTAGAGCTCGATGATGTTGAGCTACTACGGCAACTAAGAGGAGATGATGAGGAAGAAGACGAAATTGAGCAGTTGCAAGACTCAAAAAGAGAAGAACATGAGGATAATTTGAAAAGTGAAAACGCTGACAAAATTTGTGAAAATTATAATGTTCAAGAGGAAGAAATCGAACAAAATGAGGATTCTGAAGAATGTGTCGGTGGTGGTGAGAAGTCAGCGCAAGTAAATAAAATTGATTCAAGTAGTCGGGTGCGTAAAAAACGACGAGGACGTCAACCGAAATATGGTGTCAATACTAAACGTGCACAAGATGAAGCTGAGTCAACCGATACAAATGATAATTCTCAAACTTCTACATCCTACAAGTATGAGTGTAGCATATGCCAAAAGAAGTACAAAAATGCTACATCCTATCGCAAACACATTATGGAAAAACATAACAAGGAACCGGATATACCAGATTTTAAATGTGAAACCTGCAATAAAATCTATCCCACAGAACGCCAGTTGCAAATACATGCGCGCACACATCTCGCACTGGAGGACAAACTCGATATACCGTGTCCATATTGTGAACGTAAATTCACAAAAGTGGCAGTGATGCGTCAACATGTGCAGGGATTTCATGAAAACAAGAAACCTTACATTTGTGACGAATGTGGTCGATCACTAAGAACGTTAGCGGCGCTAACTGAACACAAATTAGTGCATACCAATGATGCACCATTCGAATGCGAAGTGTGCCAGAGAGGTTTCAAGAATAAGGCACGGTTAAAGGTAAATAATATTTTTTCTATTATATAATGTTTTTGTATTCAATTGAGGTTTTCGTTTTAAACTTAGGTACATTTAGAGACACACAATGACTCTTCTTATATCTGTACAGAGTGTGGCCTTAAGTTGAACACGCGACGTACATTAAAAATGCACATGCTCGTGCATTCGGATGCCAAACGTTACAAATGTGATTTCTGTCCCGCAGCATTTAAACGCACTAAAGCATTGAAAAATCACTTAATCCTACACACAGGCATGCGACCGTATAAGTGTAATTTTTGTGAGAAAACCTTTTCGAATGGCTCCAATTGTCGTTCGCACAAGAAGAAAATGCATGCACAAGAGTTGGCTGAGGAAGAGGCAATGGGTAAAAAAGCCGAAGCTGTAACGGTGCCGAAACTGGAAGAGCTGCGTTCAAGGTACGTTAAAAGTTAACCTATTACTTTTCTGTTTGATTTTACTACCAATAAACAAAATATCGATTTTCAGCACCAATGTTGTTGGTAATCCGCGTAGGGTGCAGCGACATCAAGGCGGTTTGCCGTTACACATGCGACAATTGTTAATCGCTGCTGAGGAGCGCGCAAAACGTGAAGAAACCACGAAGCAAACGACTGACACACAATCAAATGCTGCTGTTGAAATAAATGAGGAAGAAACACAAACACATTCAACGGCTTCTACGCTACATCTTGAAGATGACGACGAATCAGAGTTTATTGAATTGAACGCGGACTTGCTGCGCGATGACGATGATGATGAGGAGGAGGATGATAATGAAATGGTTGTATATGAAATAATTGCTGAAATATAAGTTTCACTTATGCATTATTAAATACAACACAAATTATCAAATGGTATGGATAGTGTGATTGCTGTGCAACGTTTATTCGCGTTATAATGTGGAGCAATTACTTTTGAAATACAAAACAAAACAAAAAAAACATTTTAAAAATGTTCAATTTATGCAAAAATAATAATTAATTTTAATATTAATATGAATTGAAGTATGTAGCTAACATACGCATTACATAGAATTAATGAAATTAAACATAATTTTTAGTTATACAGAAGTAATAATTTATTACGAATCTCTTTTTAAGCTGTAGTTCGTTAAATAACTGTAATAAAAGGTTTAATTTCACAAACAAACAAAAAAAAACACAGTTGTATAAACATTTAATAGTAGATCACTTTTATCAGACGCATCTTTAAAGCGATTAAGTTTTTAAGTGGTTATATGTGAATTTCACAAAATCGATTTTTGTGTTTGCATTTATATCACGATGTAATTTGATATATTGTACTTGTGTTACCTTGCGGGATCTTATGCATTAATTTGAGCATATTGTCTGAAAATTTGAAATTGATTTGGCTAATAGTTTCGGATATATGAGCGTATTTGTAAAAAATTTCCAACTAAGTACAGTCGGCTCCCAAAATTTGAAATAGTTTTTCTTGAAACACAGGTTTTAGAGTCGGTTGAAATTTTACACGACCTTCTCAGATATATTTGTCAAGTAATGCTGAAGAAATAAGATTTTTGATAATAAATTCGATTTTTTAAACTACTTTGAATTGCCAATTTTTTCACAAAAACTATTTCTCAGAAACCGCCATTTTGTTAAATCTAAATTTTGACTAATCATTCGATTATTAACTGTTTCCATTAATTTCAAGTAATAATAAATCTATTTGCTTTTGGATTTGAGATAATTTAAGCAGAACAAGAAAAAACGTTAGCTTTGGTTGCACTCCTAGCTAGAATACCCTTCATAAATACCACAAAAGCTTCTACACAAGAACTTGATTTTGATCGGTCAGTTGGTATGACAGATATACATATGCTATAGTGATCCGATCTGAGCGATTCTTCCGCGATTGCCTTAGGCAATAATTCATTCAAAATTTCGTGAAAATATCACTTTTAACGAAAAAGGCACTTGATTCTGATCGTTCAGTTTGTATGACTGTATAACATATGCTATAGTGATCCAATATCGGCGGTTCCGACAAATTAACAGCTTTTTGAGGAAAGGATGTGGGCAAAATTTCAAATCGATATCTCAAAAACTGAGGGACTGGTTCGAATGTACCGGTATGAAGTGAGCGTTAAGATACAAATGTGTTGGTAGGGAAAATTTGTTGTAAACTAGCCTTAATTTTTTTTCTGTTTGTTTGACATGACATCTGTCAAACATATTCAATAACCCTACAGTCATTGAACAGCAACGTCATATTTTTATTGTATTGAAAATGTCAAATTTTTACGGAAAAATTTTTTGTTTCCATTTGAAGAAAAATGCTGCAGAGTCGCATCGAATACTTGTTAGGCATACGGTGATCATGCAAGATGTGTCAACGGTTCGCAGATAGTGATTTTGTAGTGCAAAATGAAAAACGTGGAAGACCACCAAAAGTTTGAAGACGCCGAATTGCAAGCAATATTGGATGACGATGATACTTTCAGTCAAAAGCAAATGTCAGCCATGTTAAATGTTGCACAACAAACTATTTCAGACCGTTTGAGAGTTATGGGAAAGATCGTCAACTCGGCACCATTCTTCTTAATTACTTTAGGAATGTTTTCTGCCGCTACTACAACCACAACAACATCGATTCGGTAAGAAAGCAATGCTCTGTGTTTGGTTGGATCAGAAGGGTTTGGTATATCATGCGCTTCTAAAACCTGGTGAAACTGTTAATACTAATCGCTACAGACAAAATTATCAATTTGAATCATACATTGATCGAAAAACGACCAGAATGGGCCAGAAGATATGGCAAAGTAGTTTTGTTAGACGGAAATGCACCTGCTCACAAAGCAAATCGGTTCAGGCTTCTACGCATCCGCCGTATTCACCAGACTTGGCACCTTCCGATTAACATTGTTCTTATTGATGCGACACGCATTTCGCTTCCTACGCAGAAGTCTAAAATTGCGTGTCTGGTT